GGGGTGACCCAACATTTGGTCACTGATAAAGTAAGCCTAATGTCCAAAAGGAAAAAAGTAGAAAAAACAAAAACATATTAATAACAAAATGACTAAGTCTACATTTCTGGTATTGAGTAATTTGAGACTTACAGGGGTAATTGGATATAAAATATTTTTGTTTTGAGTAAATTTATTGGATAAAGTGAGATATTTTGAATAAAGTTGATTGAGTAGAGAATTTAGTAGAATTTTGAATTTGTATTTAAATAATATTTTAAATATAATTACTAAAGTTGATGAGATGTAAAAATATGAGAGATGTGATTGGAAGGATGATTAGTTAAAAACATGTGAGTGGATAAATATTGAATTAAAATTGATGTAATTGTGATGATGATTGATGGGTGTTATTTAATTATATTGAATATATGTAGTAGAGGAAAATTAGATAAAATAGAGTTGAATTTTGAGTAAATGAGCATAAAAAATTATTTGATCAGTTCAAACTTGATAATTTATGTAGCCAATCGCCCCATAACAACTATGTTAGGGTTGTGACATGATTTTAGTGATAGTTTTGTTTGTCAGAAGATCTCCAGCCCTTTATTCCACTTTAGAGTAGAGTAAACCAAAATTCAAGTTTCATCTTCAATCATTCGCGCTATATTTTTACTCTACATTAAATATATTATTTTTTTCATTCATATTTTACACATAAATTGTGATTTATATGTATATTTAATCTTATATAATTTTTGCTACCCAAATAACAAGCATATGTTTTTGAATAACAACCCGAAACTGCTTCATAAATTCAACCAATAGGAGTACAATACATAATAATATGAAAAAAATAAGTACCATTAGAAAAAAAGATTACAATATTATTACATCTAATTTTCTAAATTAGAAAATTCCTCCCCTAAATGATCTATCAATGCATTACGAAATGCGATATGAGCTTCTTTATTTCAAATTTGCCTATATTGAGCAACAAATGCTTGAACTGAGAAGCTTCATTACCTATTGTTTCAACATCTAGGACTGAGGACTCCATTGCAGCTTCGCTCGGTGCATCAAGATCTCGTTCATCCTCAATTATCATATTATGCAAAATAATACATACTTTCATTATATCTTGTAAGTCATTTTTACTCAAAAATTGGGCAGAATTAGCCACAATAGCATATCGATTTTGGAGTACTCCAAATCCACGCTCTACATCATTATGCATGCTTCTTATTTCATTACAAAATAATTTCTTTTTGGACTACGTGGGTCACGAATAGTTTGGACAAGAGTTGACCACTTGGGATACATATTATCTGCTAGATAATAACTCATGTTGTACTCTTTTCCTTGGATAACATAATGTGCTGGAGGGGCAATTCCTCGAGCAAGGTCAGAAACTAAATGGGACCACTCTAACACGTTAATATCATTGTTGGATCCAAGCATATGAAAGTATGCATCCCATATTCAATTTCTAAAATAATAGTTGGAGATTTGTCACGTCCTGCACAAGAGCAAGCCGTTGGATAATTTTTCCACCGTCAATGCATACAATATCGACTACCTAACATTGTTGGGAAGCCACATTGCTTATCGGTAAAAAGGAGTCTTGCAATGTCATTGGTGTTGGGAGAACGTAGATATTTCTCTTCGAATGTTTCTACAATAGCACGACAAAATTTCTTCATGCATTCAATTGAGGTGGACTACCCAATGTTTATGTTATCATCTGTCGCATCTGTTGGTACATCATATGCTATTATTCGAAGCGCAACATTTAACTTTTGATAGGTCGACAATTCGAGTCTACCAATTGTTTCTCTTTGTTGCAATAAATAATCATAATGACTTTTAAAAACATTTTCTATACGAAAAAATAAATTTGTAGACATCCGAAAACGTCTACGTTTCATGGCCTCATTAAATTTTGGATTTTTAGAAAAATAATTGTTAGAAAGAAGATTTGCAACTGCTTGTTGATCGCAAAATATTATTTTTTGACCAAGAATTGAACCTCCATGGCTTTGACCAACTTGTTGAGTTCTGAGAGATTATTGTACAAGATATTATTGTTGTAAATTTGTTCCACAATGCCATTGGGTATGGAAATTCGAAGAAAGAAGTTTTTGACTCTGTTCTTATGGTTGTGAGGAGGAAGCTGGAAAGTTGGAAGAATTATTTCTTGTCTACAGCAGGCTAAGTTGAGGGAAATCAAGGATGGGATTAACACTAAAATACTTACAGATCCTTGGTTACAAGGATCTAAAACTGGGATCCCAAAGTTCAAGGACACTTGCATTCAACAGTGGTGGAGAAAATACTGAAAATGAGGAAGCTTGACCCTTCCAAAAAAGACAGGTGGATCTGGAGTGTTGATGTAAAAGGTTTATTTTTTGTTAAGTCAACTTACTCTTTGTTTGTTTGAACAAAATTCTAATGCTAGATAGAGCTGAAGGGAGTGGTTTTGTAGCAAAGGATAAATGGGCTGGAATGAGATGTTGGAACTTGGATATTAAAGGAAAATTGAAAAATCTTGTGCGGAGAAGCTTCTCGGGTACTTTGCCTGTAGCTGCTACACTTAGAAAACAAGGGTTGGATGTTGATGGGATTTGCAGGTGCTGCGGGAAGGAGGAGGAGAGTATTAAACATGCTCTTTTTCATTGTAGCAGAGCAACCAATGTATGGAAAATCTCAGCTTTGGACTGGGAGTTCTGCAACCACAGAACAAGTTACTTCAATGATTGGTGGTGGCAAGTGCAGAAATGAACAGATCCGGGACCTCAGAAACTCGTTTTCAACTTTCCACCTATATCCTATGGTGGTTGTGGAAGGCCCGCATCTTGTCGGTGTTTCGAAAAGAATGACTACCTGACAAGTTGATTGTGAAGAATGCTTGGCGGGGGTGGACTGAATTCCTTAAATCGTAGAGAAACTTAAGGTGTTGCAGGGGGTCGTAACTGATTAGGTTCTTCTAAGTTCAGTTTTCTTCTATGACCCTTTGTTTTTGTTTATGTTCCTTTGTGGTGTTCTAAGTTGTTAAAGGCTATAGGATTCGAGCATTTGTCCTCGCCTATAGCCATCTTTGTGGGTTTGGCTTGTATTTAGGACACCGTTTTAGGTGTTTCCTCAGGTGGCTTGGTTTGTATTCGCACTAGTTAGTCCTGCTAATTGTAAAATGTTTATTTTATTTCTAATGAGATTATTTGCCGTTACNAAAAAAAAAAAAAAAAAAAAATCATCTTCTTGAGAGTTCGTGAGTTTTCAGAGCTTCATTCAATCACTCCACCAAGATTGTTCGAAGGTGTTTGGGTAATACAGTAGAAGATTCTTGGGTATTTTTGTTCATATCTCGTCTATGTATATTCGCAACCCCGCAAAGTTTCTGTAACTCACAGGGTTGTCTGTTCTTCACAAAAATCAAGAAATATAGTCATCGAAAACCAGAAATCGTCATCTGGTACCTCCTAGAGTCAGCTGCGACCCGTCGCCGGTCAGCCAGCCACATCCGCCCGCCATCAGGTTCTCATCCGCGAAGCACCGTGCAGATTTCAGTAGTACCGCACGCATGCACTGTCCAGGGCCCCTGTCTCACGCGATTCATGATCGTCCGACGTTCTTGTGCCCCTCGTCTCAGCATTCCAGTGCGACGCTCATCTCTGTCTTGCAACCAGTGCGCTTCTCGTACGACCCGCAATGCCCGAGTGCGACCCGTCACAAGATCCACGACAGCCAGCGTACAACATCCACGTCCTAGTGCCCGTGTCCAAGTCCTACGTGACCTAAGTCTCTTCCAGCTTTGTAGTCCATGGCACCCACAACAGACCCAGGTTTGTCCGTCCATCCCGGGTCCAATCTGGTCCAACAGAGTCACCAACACCCATAAGTGGTCCAGCCCCATTCAACACTAGTCCAGGCAATTCCCAAACGATCTAATTAACCCACTGAAGGTTTAAGACGATCAAACGGACCCGACGAGCAACTAAAGACGTGATAGCGAGGCCTAGTCCAACAACCCAACGGACTCTCGGAGGTTGTGATTGTATCCCAACTATCTGCACCTGGCACATCTCAGTAGAACAGGGTCGCAGAACGGAGAAATATAACTTTTATAGAGATGGTTTGGTCCATGATGATTTTTTAGACCTCTTGAGTCCGTTCTGGGGACTCGCCCTAGAAACAACAATGTATATCTTGAACCTAGTTACAACAAAGTCAGCTGCAACTACTCCGACTGAATTGTGGCATGGGGCGCAAGCCCAATTTGTCACATATTCGAGTATGGGATAGCCCATCACGTGTTATGGTTCAAGATACTGAAAAGTTGGAAAAACTATCAGAAGTACAGTTGTTTGTGGGCTATCCCATGGGAACAAAAGGTGGTTTATTTTATAGTCCCAATGATCAGAATGTGATTGTTAGCACGGATGCAAAATTCTTGGAAGAAAACTTTATTCTAGACCACAAGCTCGCGAGTAGCCATGTTATAGAGGAGTTAAGAAGTGAGGTCGAGCATCCAATACTGAGTGCATTAGTAGATACATGAAATAATATTGCGGCATGTGTCACTGAGGATGCGCCTGTGTAGGTGGTACCTTATCGCAGTGGGAGGGTCGTTTGACAGCCCGAAAGGTTAATGTTCCTCAGAGAGACTTCGGACTTAGTCTTGAGTCAGCTACAACTTGAACCTTGAACCTACGACGAGACTCTCCAAGACAAGGATGCAAAATCATGGCAAAGTGCGATAATCACTGAGATGGAGTTAATAAACTCCAATCAGGTATGAGATCTTGTAGAACCACTCAGTGGGGTATGACCCATTGGATGCAAGTGGGTCAATAAGAGAAATAAAGGATTGGGTGGAAAGTTTAAAATCTTCAAAGCGAGACTTGTAGCGAAGAGGTATACTTAGAAAGAGGGAATCGATTATGAGAACACTTTTTCGCCGGTAGCCATGCTCAAGTCAATTAAGATTCTCTTGGCTGTTGCCGCTCATATGGATTATGAGATATGCCAAATGGGTGTTAAGACGACTTTCCTTTATGGGAGTCTCCAAGAAGATATCTATATGCAGCAACCAGAGAGCTTTATCTCAGAGGGCCGTGAGCATCTAGTTTGTTAGCATAATCAGTTCATTTATAGACTGAAGCAAGCTTCAAGGTCTTGGAACAACCGGTTTGATGAGGTGATTCAGTCGTACAGGTTCACTCAATGTCTGAATGAGCATTATGTATATAAGTAAAGTGACAGAAATGTGGTGGTGTTTCTTGTGTTGTACGTAGACGACATCCTTTTCATTGAAAATTAACTATGTAGAGGTGTTGTCAGACGTAAAAGTATGGTTGCTTAAGAAGTTTGACATGAAGGATCTGAGTCAAGCGGGACACATTCTCGGCATCAAGGTGATTCGTCACTGAGATAAGAGAATGTTATGCTTATCCCCGTCTTCATACATAAACACTGTTCTAGCTTGTTTTAGCATGCAAGACTCTAAGAGAGAGTTGCTAACCTTTCAACATGGAGTTCCAATATCTGAGGAGATGTCTCCCAAGACGTCTCAAGAGATAGAAGACATGAGAAAGGTTCCTTATACATCGGCAGTAGAAAGTCTGTATGAGGCCAAATATCTAGTATGCTTTAGGCATGGTGAGAAGTATCAAAGTAACTTGGGACAGGGTCATTGGACCGTGGTGAAGCACACTCAGATACCTAAAGAGGACCAAGGATTACATGCTGGTCTACCGATCGGACCAATTGATCCTTTTGGATTACACCGATTCTGACTTCCAGTCAGACTAGGACGAAAGGAAATCTACCTCTGGGTTTGTGTTTACTCTGGGAGGTGGAGCCATTTTATGGAGGAGTGTCAAGAAAAAATGCGTGGCGGAATACACCATGGAAGCTGAATACATCGCAACCTCTAAGGCAACAAAGGAAGCGGTATGACTCAGGAACTTTCTGTTGAACTTGGATGTGTTTTCCATGTGGTATTACAATTTATTGTGATAATAGTGGAGCAGTAGGAAACTCAAAGGAGCCACGAGCCCATAAGGCGAGTAAACACATAGAGCGCAATTACCACATGATACTAGAAATCGTAGGAAGAGGAGGCGTCGTGGTCACCGAGATAGCATCGGAGGATTACCTTGCGGATCCTTTCACAAATAGTCTGTTGACGTAAGTCTTCGACAGAAACATAAGATGTTAGGCAATAGAATCGACATAGCACTATTAGAATGAATATTGAATGAGGTATACTAGGAATAGTGAAAGATTTAGTATAAGTGGGAGATTGTTAGTGTGTATACTTAAAATTTGGTTTTTGCGTAATAAACATTATTTTTCTTATGTTCTGATGTTTTACATTAGGATATTGTGGTTCATCACAGATGGACGAAAGACCATATGTTGGTTACTTGTAAAACATAAGTAATATAATTCACAACCTACATGAAAATGAATGACCCATCATTAACGGTTGTAATGCTAGCTGTACAGTTAGTCTTGATTGATTGGTTGCACTAGTAGACTATGTAAATTGAACGGATCCCAGAGAGGATAAGTTTTTTTTTTTTTTTTTTTTTTTGAACTGATTAGTAAACAAACTAGACCTCGGTTAATTATTGCGTGCTCTTAACCCATAAGATATAAACATGCATGTGCATACAGTAGTTGCTACTTTGATTCACTAAAAAGTGAGACACATTCTGTTACGTCAATAGTATGATGTGTTTTGGGTAGTGGTGTTGTGTGTATGGTATGCTATTTGAATATTTACAGTCACCGTGTGTCATAGTCTGATGATGTTCCCAAAATGACTTCAAGAATGATTATTATGTTAAACTCTGCAGGTGAATTAAGTTCCATCATAATAATAAAGAATTGAGTAGTACCAGTCTTAGCACAACAAGTCGATTAGTTATATTACCAGTAATTATTTATTGACGGACATTATATCTGAAACACGGAGACATAAATTGAGTAATTATTATCAGAGCCTCAAATATAATTTGAGAGCCAAATGGGGAGATCAGCGATATTTCTTTAGTGGAATGATATATCGTTCAAGTATGAGCATAGTGGGCTTGGCCCACAGGTGGGCTCATACTTGGTAAGCCCATATTTAGAACCTTCTTAGGGTCCCTGTTGTAACCTATAAATACATAGTTTCTCTTGTAATTTTTAGTCACCAGGCATGCAAGAATTTTGTGAGTGCCCACCAAGACGATCAAAGTTCTGTAACTAAAGGTCATACAACAGAAGTCCCAAGGTAACCCGAGACTCCTGCGATCACCACTTGTTCATGCACAGACGCCGTGCACCAAGCCTCGCTCGCTGCACGCAGCCGAGACCCAAAAAACATCCAGTCGTGATGCACTGACGCGCACGCCCCCACCCAATCGAGAACAGCCCCGCTCGAGCACACTCGCAGGTAGCTGTAAGACGCTAGTGTGCACGAAGCACGCGATGACCACGCCTCTCGATCTCGCGTGACCAGCAGAGTAGTGCTATCCCCGGTGACAGAAGGACATCCCACGAGGCGCGAAGGACGTGACGGGAAAATCTCTCAAAACCGTTTGTTCGGCCTCGTAGGCCGTGTAAGTCTGTACAGAGCCTTCAAATTTTAAGTCGTAAGTGTTCAATATTTACTTTATTCGTTGTGCTTTAGGCTTATTTTTCGTAGGCTGGATCTGTGACTTGCATGATTCGACGTTCCTCATAGAACCCTAACAAGAATTACTCGTAGAAATATAAGAGGCGAACATTTATCCTCTCAATTTATTGATTGTTAATGGCAATTCAAGCTTCTCTACAGTAGATATCCTACCCCCAAAATCTAAATCGAGCACGGCCACCGGAAACTGACTACTCACGGTCCTCTGCGATTGCTAATCGGCTTGTCCTCACCCCACTTCAGTCTCGACGTCTCTCAGCTATTTTCTATTTCAGATTAAAGGTAAAAAGGAAAAAATGGGGTGAAGTAGATTTGTGCCTTGCCTCCCCACCGCCATAGTCTGCCGTTTGGCCTTGCTTTTTTTTACGAAGACGTTAGCTCTGTAACCCATTTCGTGCCTGTGAGATCTCGATCGATCCGTTGGTTAAATGTAAGGTTGTCGCAGTTGAGGGGATATTGGTGATGGCGACTCTTTCTTGTTCGGTTGTTGTATCGTGTTTGACTGTTTTAAAGGATAGATCGGGTCCGAAGGTGTCAGTTGTAGTTAGCCCTTGCCATCTCGGTGTCGGGAGTTTCTGGATCTGGTATTTTAATGCTTGGTAGTGTTGTTCCTTGTGTGTCCGACTTTGATTTGCTGAATTATATGGTGGCGTAGGAACTTGTTCGTAGTCGAAGAGGACCTTAATTAGTTTATAGCTACTTTGTATTTTACTAACGTGTTCTTTTTTATTTTTTTTTACTATTTTGTGGTTTTTAATCACCTGTAGTGGAGTTTATGAGTCTCCTTTGTAGAGTTTTGTCTCGTTGGTTTGGGACTTTTTTGTAGGGTCATTTCCTGTGAAAGGGGAGCTCTTATGATAAAGTAACTCCACTCAGATTCATTTTTTTCAATCACTTGACAGTTAGTCAAGTTAGGATAATCATTTTAACCAGTTGGTTATCGATTGTAACTTATTTATGGTCATATATTAGTATTTAGTTATTTACCGATTTTGAAAAAAAAAAAAAAAAAAAAAAAAAGTGTTTGTGAAAACCTTAAAACAGAGTCCAAGTTAGAAGTACGTAGTGGGTCGAACATGTCTCCGAGTGCTCCATTTTGTAGTGTCAGACAATACAAAACTCATAACTCATCACACACATACCTAACTACTTTGTCTATTTTTACACACTATAAGCCACCAACTTGCACACCACATTGCGCTATTAAGAGCATCTCCAATGCTCAATGTTGTAGTGGTAAATTACATTCTACATCAACACATTTATTAATGTCACAACTTTTTATTCCCCAATGTACAATGTGATTACAAATGTTGTGGTGATGTGGACATAATTAATGTATAGAATGTAGAGAGGAATGTAGTTCATTCACATTCTCCTCCACACTCTAGCTAGCCAATGAATAGAAGAGAGAGAAATATTATTACCATTTTCAAACAATTTAATTATTTAATTAATTTTATTAATTTATATTAAAATTTAATATTTGGTAAGTAGATAATATTGTAATGAAACTACATTGTGCATTGAAATGATTTTTTAATTTAATAGTTGTGAACTCAACATTTGTCCTACATGGTTCACAATCTATTTAATATTTTGACATTTGTCAAAATTTATCTAATAACAACATTAGAGCATTGGAGATGCTCTAAGTACTAATACTATTACTCGGTAATTATTGTTAGCTGTGACTTTTTTTACTCATTAACTACATCTTATCATTAATTCGCTCGTCAACATACAAATGGCAGAACGATATTATTATTATTATTATTTAAAAATATGACATGTTTACGGCAAGTTTTTACATTTCCATTCCATAACTGGAACTGCCTAACAAGAAACAAACATATTATCAACTTTAAGCCTACACACAACAATTAGTTTATTTTATGTTTTATGTAACTAGTAAAGTGCACGTGCATCGTACGTGGTGATGAATGTTTTCTACTAATTAAATTTAGTAAAATTAATTAATTAATTTCTTAAATAACATATTACAACCTCAAGAAAAATACAGTCCCTAATGGAAAAAAAAAATCACTAAATAACTAAATAAGAACCTAATGTATATTATAGATGCATTAGTTATTTTATTTAATTATGTTAGATGATTAGAGAGTGATTTTCTTTTATTTTCGTTTTGACGTTTTCATAAGAAACATTCATACTCGTTGGAGCCCAATACATCAATAGTACTGCAAATTTGTCTTAATTCATTTGCCAAAACGTCTACTTTATTCAAACACTTATAAATATATTGACAAAACATATAGTCAAATTTCATGATTGTATGATCTTTATAAGGTATTTCTACTAACAGTTCATGAATATCTTTGTAAAATAACCAACCGTATCATTAAATTGTGGATATTTTTTTATCATTGTATAAACAACATCATTACTATGTCCATACCTACCCCATGGAGGCATTGCCCACGGGGTGGAAATGAATTTCATATCCAAATAAAAGTCGACTTTTCAAAATCTTAGTTACATATGTTTCTCCTAAATTACTTTTTGAAATCATCACATTACATGAAGTACGTACTGTAAAATAATTGCACATATGTTCGAGAAAATTACACAATGAGATTGTAAATACTCCTATAAAAAGGAGACAATTTCATTCAAACATTCAAGAATGTTTTGATCATGCTTCGACATTTTCTTTTTCAATGTTATTTATTTAGAAGACAAACGAACTATATAATCTATTGTTTGCAAATCATTGACCATCATGGTTGGTGCAATGATTTTAACGTTGTTTATCATATATAATATCTTTCACATTCGTTTGAATTTGCAGTACTTATGTGTCGAATAACTTATTTAATGATTTATTGTCCAATTTTTCGCATTATACATAATTCTTCGAAAATTCAAGATAAAGATTTTTTCTTGAATAAAAAAAAAAAAACAAAAAAAAAATCATTTGTTAAAATAGTTGAGAAGAGAAGAATTAGAATTCTATTATATTATGATACTTTTAGCTGCTCTGTGAACTTTATTATTACCAAGTAATTATTCAAATTTACGTTATGTATTACAAAGTTTTTATGATACATATTGTAATTCTTTTTTTTTTTAATATTAAGTTTTTTTGGTGACCTTAAATAGTTTAAGAATTTTGAAATGTTCAGAAATAACTTTAATTTTAAGATACACTATAAATGAAATAGAATAATTATAAATGATATAAAAAAATTCTATATAAATGAATGTTCATTACCCCACGAGGGTAATGTATGATTCTATAGTTTATTGACATCAAAATAGCGATTAGATCTTGACCATCATCAAAAGATATCACAAAAATTTTGTGTGAATCTTTGCTCTTTTATGTAAATTAGTTGTAGACTCAACGTAGACAAAAAGTGCAATAATTAACAAAAAATTATATAAAGTCAGATTTAAAAATAATAAACTACTGATACTTTATATTCTTACAAATTTAAAAATAATAATATAATTATTAATAATTCAAACCCCATTATTGAGAATCATGAAATTTTGAACCTTAACAAATAATATATAAAAATTAACAAATATAAATATTATAATCATTAAATATATACAAAATAGTTATTAAATACTATTTCATATTTTAGTTATACTATATTCGTATACATCAGAAATCTCAATGTTCAGTTTATTTATGCTATTGACAATTAAAAAATAATTTGTGGATTTGAAATAATATTTCATAGAATGTAAGCTATTTATGTATTATTTATTTTATATTAAAAAATATTTTATATGTTTATATTAACTCCATAAAAGAATATCAATATATTTTATATAATTCATCTTGATAGAAATTTGTATTAATTATATTAAATGTGATATTTTGTAGTTAATGGAAAAAAATACTATTCAAAGTTGACATATTTTATAATTTATTTGACAATTATGTTTAACTACTTTTTTTTAACGGAATTTTATTTGTTATAATTCATACTTTTAATTCTACTAAAAAATTATACTTTTATATCTTTTACTAATTCTTGTAATTATAGTGTTACTATTATAAATAATCAAATAGAAAAGATATCTTAAGCAATCGACATTTATCTATTTGGCAATATGTCGTCGCATTTAATTTATTCTTTTAAATGATATTCTTTGTTATAGTGTAATTCTTATTGATATATTTATGTTTATAAGGTTTTGTTGGTTTCTTAAAAATTAACTTTTTTGATAAAAAAATTATTATTTAAAATAGTTGTTCAACTTTAGTTTAATAAAGGACACCTTTAAACTAACTATGTAGTACACAATTTATAGATTCTTAGTAAAATAAAAAAAGATATATATTAGTTAACATTATTATTTTTTCTAATCAATTTATTATTGTGTTCAAATATTTTAATTCTAGCAATTAAATCTATATATGAATAAAAACAGAATAATATTATGCTTTTTATATTTTAATAATTACTATTATGTCCATAAATTCATGTCCAAATTAATATATTATATCATGTGTTTATTTTTTTCATTACTTATTTTTTTCATTTATCCTTCTTGATACTCTATTTTTTCGAATAAGACATTTGAGTAGTTTTATATGTCATGCTATTTGTTTCATGTAAATTTTATATAATCATGTTATATCAAATTTGTTTATTATGACATGTAGTTATGTAATTAGTAATAATGAAAATAATATAAATTTAAAATTGTAACAAATTTATACTATAATACTTCATACTTAATAATGTATGTTGTGAAATTAAGATAGTACTTCCCCTACATTTTTATTTGTTCCACATATATTTTAATTCAATTCAATCTTATTGAAATAGTTTGCATCTCCTTTACTAATTTTTATTTATTGATAAGTTAATATTTTTTTTTTATCTATTTATATCTATTTTGTTTAGGTTTTATTTTTTTACAGAGTTTTGTCCTTGTTAGAATCCTATTTTATTGAAATATTAAATCGTGATTATATTAATTGGGATACTTAATAGTTATTACAATTTTTTACATTAAGAGTAATATAAATATAAGGACGTTTTTTAATCAGTGAAATTTTTTACAAAATCATTCCTCCTTTTATATTAGTACAGATATATATATTTTCTTGATCTATAAAAAATAACCACATGTCTGTTAAATTGTTCAATCATTTAATAAAAAAGCAACAAGGACTAATGTTTGTTTTTTCGTAATTGATGATTCATCGCATACTATTAATTACACATCGCATGATAACCCAATAAGTTAACTTCTTTCGACACAATACATTATCTTATTTATTTTGTAGTTATAGCTATTAATTAATCTATCATGAATAGTATTCTTTATCTTATTCTCTATTTATTAATTCACAAAAATATTCTCAAATGTTTATATCAATCATAATTATTCATGAAATAATTTTCTTATTTAATAAGACACTTAAGGTAACATGTCTACCATGAATAATATTCTTTATCATATTCTCTATTTATTAAGCCACAAAAATATTCTCAAATATTTATATGAACAATCATAAATATTCATGAAATAGTTGCCTTACTTAATAAGACACTTAAGGTAACATGAACTTATCTAGAACACCTTTAATATCAATGCACAGACAAATAAGTAATTGAAATATCCAGATATAGCATACAGCTGCCTATAAAATTTTGTAATTCAAAAGCAATTGTTTTTTATATATGTGTTAATTAAATATATTTTAAATTTTAATAAATAAAATAATCATAACGAAATAATATTTAAAATACTAATTAAATTATAGTTCACAATTATTTATATTTTTATTTAATATTTTAATTTTTTTTCTTATCCAATTCTCAAACAATATTTCATTATTTATCATGATTTCAAAAACACGAATTTATTGTTAATTATTTTAGGTAAATATTTTAGATGTTAAAAACCAAAATAAATAATAATTAAAATAATGATAGTTTATTATGAATATATATACATATATGAATATATTTTTTTGAAATATGTTTTATGTGAGTGTATAGGATTTTTTTTTATTATTATATACTAATATACGATTAGAGTCCACCATAGATGAATAAAATGGATTAATATATACAAGAAAAATTTGGTGTCTATTTATTAAG